TGGTCAGAGCACATGCATGGGTTTCAGGCTCAATCCCCAGTAGGGGCCATGCAGGAAGCACACAATGTATGTGTCTCTCACATTGATGTGTCTCTCTCTCTCTGATTCTCCTCCTCTCTTCCACTCTCTCTAAAAATCAATGGAAAAATATCCTCGGGTGAGGATTAAACAAACAAAGTATTATGAAGTCAAATTTAAACATTTTTTTCATGGTTTTGTGTATTGCTCAGGAAAGTTTTCTTTACCACAAAATTATTTTTAAAAATTTTCTTTTAGATTTTTGCAGTTTGTTATTTTTACATTTGGGTCCACAATGCATTTGTCCAGAGACACATGTTTTGTACGCTGATGTAGAAATCTAACTTTAATTTTTCTGAATATATATACAGGTGCCTCCACATTCATTAACTGGTCTATCCCTTCCTCATTTACCTTAAATTTAACCTTTATCATAAATGAAATATATAGACTTTTATCATAGATTAAATATATCTGAAAAATGTGTGTGTTTCTTGTCTGTCTCTCTTTTTTTTAAATCTGTTCCTGGGCTGGTAAAACACCTATTTGAATAATTCATTTTGTACTATGTTGTTGTTGTGTGTTTTTTTGGGGGGGGGGTGTTGTACCATGTTTTGATCTCTCATAGGGAAAGACCTTTCTCTCTCTCTCTCTCTTTTGTTTGTTTGTTTGTTAATCCTCACCTGAGGATATTTTTCCATTTATTTTTAGAGAGAGTGGAGGGGAGAGGAAGAGACAGAGGAAAACATTGATGTGAGAGAGACACATCGATTGGTTGCCTCCTGCACCAACCCCAACCAGGGTCAGGGAACTGAATGGAACCCGAGACCCTTCAGTCCACAGACCGATGCTCCATCCACTGAGCCAAACCATCTAGGGCTCTTTTTTTTTCCTTCTCCAACATTTGTTGTCTATTTTCATACTGTTTTTCTCCTAGATTCTCTTTAGAATCAGCTTGTCAAGTTTCATGAAAACTGCATTGATTTTGATTGGGATTGCATGGAATTTATAGATTAATTTCACATTTTTGCAACATTGAGTCTTCCTATCCCGGAATGTGGATAGATGACTATTTATTCAGGTCTCCCTGCTCCTTAAGAGCTGTATGTAATTGACTGGAACCTCTAGTCTACTTCTTGTGGTCCCAAAGCTTTCCCTAACATTTCTCTTAGTCAACTCTGGCTTTGAGCTTCAACTTCCACTGAATCAATTCAGGGTATCGGCCCAAGTGGGATAGGCTGTATTTTCCAAAGAGAGCTGCACCAATATATGTCCCATCCTCCAAGCTCTTCTTGAAATGTCATATTGATGCTTGTCCATCAAGAGGTGAGATCTCTGTTCCCTCCCTTTGAGCCTAGGCAGACTTCTGTAATTGCCTGGACCAAAAGAAAGTGGTGACACTGATGCTGTGTGAGTTCTGAGACTAGGTCCTAAGAGGCACCTCTGTTTCTGTCTGGTGTTCTCCCTGTCTCTGATCTGCTATGTGAGAAGTTCAGCTACCATGCTGATGAGACTCCCTGGAAAGCCCACAAAGACATAAAGGAGAGACAGAGAGCTGCCCAGGAAATGCCAGCTGTTCCAGCCCCACCTAGTGGAGGCTTCCCAGTACAGGCACTAGGCATGTGGGTGAAGAAGTCTTCTAGATGATGCCAACCCCAGCTGCCTCTGCCTGCACCCTCCTAACAGATCCCTGAGTTAGAAAGAATCAGCAGAGCCATTCCTGAATTCCTGATCCAAGACACTGTCATTTTAAGCCGCTGCATTCTTAGGTGACTCGCTGTGCTGCAATGGACAGCTGATATGCTAATGTGTGTTGTCCAGACGTGAAGCTCATCCCCGTTCCGTAGTTCCCATGAAGCATCCGTCTTTATATAAACTGCTGTTAGAAATTTTAACCCTGCTAGTTGGCTTCTGTAAATGCTTGCTGGCTTAAATAATAAGGAAAATAAGACTACCCCCATTTCAGAGAGGCCATTAAACCTTCCCCAGACGAAGTTATCAGTGCTGGTACCAGGCCAAGTCTTTGGTTGAGGACTCAAAGCCCCAGCCCATAGGGGCTCTTTAAGAACTTGCAAAGGGGACCGGAAAAACCCATATTTGGGAGACAAAGAGGGTAAAATGGTATAAATACAGGAAACTTCCTGTGTGATTTGGCCCAGAATTTGAGAGACATTTTCCTCTGGGCCCGTGTGTAATAAATGTAACTCCATCTCTCTAAGCGTTGCTTGGTTCTTCTCCGGTTTTCTGTAACACCCACACACAAAAAGGAAACTTACTCACACAAGGCCTTTGTGTGTTTAGCCCACAAAGAGATGAAGAAATGAATAACATGAAACCAACAGCCCTAGCCAGTTTGGCTCATTGGATAGAGCCTCCGCCTGTGGACTGATGGGTCCCAGATTCGATTCCTGGTCAAGGGCACATGCTCAGGTATCGGGTTCATCCCCACTAGGGGGCGAGCAGGAGGCAGCAGATCAATGATTCCCTCTCATCATTGATGTTTCTATCTCTCTCTCCCACTCCCTTCCTCTCTGAAATCAATATAAAAAAAAATTTAAAAACCCCAACAACTTTGGACATCCTAGTTCTTAGACATCCTTTACACATATTACCCCACCCATCCCAGGCAATGCCCATCATCCCTCTCCCACCTCCTCCCATCATTTTACTTCCTACTAACTCAGATCAATGAAATTCGCTCCAGCCTATTTTCCTGAACTCAGCTCCAGCAACACCCTCAAAACCCAGGGACCTTTGCCAACATGCCCCCCGGAGTTGGACTTTCCTAGGTTCTAGAGGATATTCTCCTGGATTATTCTGGCTGATCTGCTTGTGGTCATCTTCCCCACACAGGATGCAAGCCTGGTAAACAGAGGGTCCTCAGCAAATCACAGTGAAAGCTAAAATAACATCAAGCACCTACTAGGTGCTGGTGCTAGGTTAAGCATTCTACATGCAGAATCTTATCCAATCTTTACCAAAGCTCTGTGAGATAGGGACTCTCATTACTCCCTTTTACAGATGAGGAAACTGAGACTTCCAATAGTTTTAAGTGCTTGTGGTTATGCTTACAGTTAGTAACAGAGTAGGATTCCCGAGCACTTTGCCAACATTGCTTAAGGGAATGAAAGGGAAGGGAAGGGAAGGGACTCTGGAGAAAGGCTATGCTGGACAGGTAGGTTTTGGAAACTGGTATAGGAGGTGGTGGCTGTTTCCATGAACATGGGGAGATCACGCCTAGTGAGTGAGAAGGCCCAATCCTAGAGACGCGGGTGCTTAAGGGAGCTGCAGGGGAGAAAAGGCAATAGAAGAGGGGCCAGGTGTGGAAGCCTGGACAGGGAAGATTTCAGGACAGAATGGCCAAAGGCTGGACTCCCAGCGGAGGCAGAAGCACGGAGGGGAGAGGGAGAGGGGGAAGTTGGGGGCGGGTGGCAGACAACTCCAATAAAGAGTTAGCAGCGAGCAAGGGGGAGGAGGCAGATGGGGTGCTCACAGGCTGGCTGACCCAGGAAGGCTTCGCTTCGGGATATTTTCATGTGAAAGAGGCCTGCTTGTGTGTGTGAGGGGGCTGCGCAGACCGGCTAAGAGGCCTGAGGCCCCTCCGCCTGAAGAGGGACTGACCCGGGCTCTCAGGCAGCAGCGGCTGAGGACCTGGGCCAGTGATGGGCGTGGG